ATTGCCAGAGAAGGATCCAACGCCAATGGAGAAGGATCCAATGCTGATGGAGAAGGATCCAACGTCACTGGACAAGGATCCACCGTCAATGGAGAAGGATCGAACATCACTGGAGAAGGATCCAACACCAATGGAGAAGAATCCAACGCCGATAGAGAAGGATCCAACATCAGTGGAGAAGGATCCAACGCCAATGGAGAAGGATCCAATGTCACCAGAGGAGCCAACATCAGTGGAGAAGGATCCAACATCGCCGGAGAAGGATCCAACACCAATGGAGAAGGAGCCAACACCAACGGAGAAGGGTCCAACATCGCTGGAGAAGGATCCAACACCAATGGAGAAGGATCCAACATAGCTGGAGAAGGATCCAACACCAATGGAGAAGGATCCAATGCCAATGGAGAAGGATCCAACACCAATGGAGAAGGATCCAACGCCAATGAGAAGGATCCAACACCAATGGAGAAGGAGCCAACACCAACGGAGAAGGATCCAACATCGCTGGAGAAGGATCCAACACCAATGGAGAAGGATCCAACGCCAATGGAGAAGGATCCAACACCAATGGAGAAGGATCCAACACCAATGGAGAAGGATCCAATGCCAATGGAGAAGGATCCAACACCAATGGAGAAGGATCCAACGCCAATGAGAAGGATCCAATGCCAATGGAGAAGGATCCAACGCCAATGAGAAGGATCCAACACCAATGGAGAAGGATCCAACATCAATGGAGAGGGATCCAACATCAATGGAGAAGGATCCAGCATCGCCAGAGAAAGATCCAACATCGCCGTGGGATGAGCCGAGAGGGAAGCAAGTAGTCGCTGGGCAAAGCAGGGAATGCGGGGTTTAAAAAACCAAAAATGGTAATAATCATATATGGAATATTAATAATAACGGAGAAAGAGGAATTTCGACGCCGACGGGCGCGGCGTTCCGCCTTCGTGGCGTTTTTGGGGGGGTGGGGTGGGATCCAAGGCACTTTGAGCGACGGCTGCGGAAGCAGGGAAAGCGTTTTGAGGCGGGGGGAAGGAGGGAGCGACGCCAGCGGCGGGTTTTTTTGCCGGCTCGGCTTTAATTAACGGAGGTTAATTAACGGAGCGAGGGCGGCCAGTAAATCCGAGCACGAGTCGCTCCGGGATGGAGGGATCGTGTTGGGATTTGGCAAAGCTCGGTCTAAACCAAGCATGACCTCGCCTCTGGTTTGATTTTATTTTTTGGCCGTATCGCGCTCTGCCTCGTTCTAGTGTTTGTTCTCTTTTTTTTTTTTCTTATTTTTTGGGTTTTTTTAATTCTTTTAAACGAGCGCGGCCGAGCCCGTGCCAACGAACCAACGGGGAGAGGGGGAGGCGAGGGGAGAACCGTCGGCATCGCTCGACCCTTCAGCTCGTCGGGATCGGCGTCTCTCCGCTTGCGGCGGAACCGAAACGAATACGAAACTAAGCAGAGCTGGTTAAGACCATAAACGTGTAAATCTTAATTAAAAAAAAAAAATTGGAAAAAAAAAAAACCCGCAAAGTGTCATAATGAGAGGCGGTTTTCGGAACGGCGAGTCCCCACCCCTTTGGGAAGAAGGAAGAAAAAAAAAAATAATAAAAAGGACGGGCAGAGAGATTTTGGTTTTGTCGTTTCACCTCATCGCCTGACATTAACAGTCTCAGTAGCGAAAAAAATGTTTCTCGTGATAATCCCAGAAACTGTAAAAAATAAATTATTTAAGAAAGGGCTTTCTCTGTACAGCTCCTTAAAATTCGTCGTGGCGCACCAAGGCCTCGCCGAAGTCCGTGGCCTGACTCCCCACGAACAAGTCGTACTTCTCCACGATCTCCTCTTTGGTCAGTTTGCCGTCCTGGAAAAGAGCAAAGACGTAAATTCTCGTTATTTAACCCGCGGCGGTTCCGTCTCTCCTTCCCGGCTTCCCCCCAAAAAAATCCCACTCGAGCCCTCCGAGGGACGGAGAACGCCGCTCCGGGAGAACCGAATCGCGCCGGGAAGGGTTGATGCCGTCCCCCACCTTGTCCTGGTCGGATTCGTAGACGAGATGTCGCGCTTCCGCCTCGGCGTGGTCGTAATCCGAAGGGAGGATCCAATCTTTGGTTTCTTCCTTGTCCATTTTACCGTCGCGGTTTTTGTCTCGGAATTCCACGAATTGCTCCCTCTCCGTCTTTACCCACTCGGGCTC